AATCATCCGAAAAACCTCAAACAGACTGACTGTGGGATAGAGATTTGTGAAACCCTCAAAATGACGGCCTTTCGTTGCCCTTCAGGTCTGGGAATGAACTCACCTTGTGGCTCAAACTTCAGCCAAACAATAGGTCTATGCAAGGAACAATAGCACTAGTGAGACACACACAATAGAACAATCAACCCTTTGAGATCAAAAGAGCAGCATCGACCCAGCAATAATGTTCAGAAGAGCTCAGACGGAAGGAAGAATGGCAACAAGAAACACAAGGAGGAAGTGAGACGGTGACGTTACATTGCCGTGATTGCAAGCAAAGGATTGGCACAAAATGTGTATGAATTGTGGAATGGAAGACCAGTTTGCTCTGTATGCCTTCACCCAACTCCCCAAAACAAGCTATATAGAGAGAGGATTCCAAGTGTAAAACTAAAGACTATATTGGAAAGTACAGTGGAATTACTATGAAAATTCACACTCACTGCCATCAAGACAAGTTCAACTCATAACGACCCAATAGGTTAGAACCTATTACTAATTATATAATTTCAAAACACTTAAAAACCTATCACAAAGCTTGAGAACCCCAATTAATTCTGCTGATTGACATGAGTATATTTTAAAATGCATTGAAAATTTTGTTTGCACTGAAAAATTTTAAGTGTCTTAAAAAATACATCACTAGGAGGAGAAAAACAAACAAACCTTAAAAATAAAAAAACAAACAAAAAAACTTACTGCCATCGAGTGAATGCTGGCTTGTAGCGGTCCCTGTGGGTTTCTCAAACTGTAACTGTTTACAGGAGTAGAAACCCCAGTCTTTCTCCCTGGGAGCTGGTGGTGGTTTCGAACTGCCGACCATGCAAATCGCAGCCCAACATGTAACAAATACACTAACAGGGCTCCATAGGGAAAAACAAACAAACAAGGTGCTAATTCAACACATGGAAGAACTGACACCCAAATAAACAAAACTAATAGAGAAGCTAGCAGGAGACTTAAAAAAAGCAGCAGCAGAAGCTTGTAATAACATATTCACAAGAGGGCACATTGTACGCGCAGCTAAAGCAAGTTATAGGTGTGAAAATATAACTTTGCATCTGGAAAATTCAAATGACTGCAATGTCCCATCGCTGACTCACAGAGGGTCCCCTGGCCTCCTGTCGGTCCTGCTCCCTTCCCCTCCCCGGGCAAGACCTCCTCTGTTTCCTGCCATTGACATGCTGGGCATTTGGTCTTAGAATGTAAGGCACGTGAGGCACAAACAATAATTCACAGGTACTGATAGAAAAGAGAAAAAATCCAATGTGCCAGCTCTTCTTTTAAAAACAGAAACACAGAAGTGAGTGAGCTCGATTTCATAAAACCATGAGTCTGAGGAGCAGAAAAGGCCTGGCTTAAACCTACACCTTCAAGTCAGTATTACCTCATTTCCACCTAGGGCTATCTGCAGGCATTGAAACAATTTATCCAATCTCTATTTGAGTTCTGACTCCGCCATTTCCTTCTCGAGTGTGCGCGCACGTGTGTGTGTGTGTGTGTGTGTGTGTGTGTGTGTGTGTCTGTGTGTGTGTAATCTTGGGCAGCCCCTTTTCTTCTCTGGGCCTCAGTTTCTCCAAATGTCAAATGGGAAATCATGCTAATCACCAGGATACCGTGGCACTAAAAGAAATAAGGGAGCTATTCTCGTAGTGCCTGGCACACGGTAGGCCTTCGCCTACCCCTACTGGGCATCCCTGTTGTCCTGGTGTGGCTATTGCAATTCAACTGCTTATTAGAGAAACTCAAAGTAGAGGTAGAGATGGAGTCTTTTCTAGAAAAGAAAACGCCAGAGTGTGCGGTATAAAGAGTAGAGTACAATACAAGGATCACTGTGGCACTTGCTGTAGAATAACAAGACGCTGTGCTGCAACAAGATCAACTCCCCTTCCAGAGAAGAACACAAGATAGACCCAGCAAGGCAATTCAGAGCACTCAGGCCAGATGTAAAGCTTTTCCTCCTCATTAACTGTCATATATACACACACACACACACACACACATATATACACATATATATATACATATACATATATACAAGTCTGAATATCACTACCATATGACTATACAGACTTGTACATATATATATTAGAAAGGGTTAGAGGCAATAGAGGAAAGGAAGAACTGAGAGAAAGGAAATAAAGGGAAATTCCTTCTAGAAATGAATGGGTGCTGAGTGACACAGGGAAGCAACTTATCCTACGCAAGTTTCGATGTGTGGTCCCCGGGTGGCACAAACCATGCAGGCTCAACTATAGTCTAGAGGTTGGAGATGTGAAGCCATCCGGAGGTGCCACAGAAGAAAGGCCTGGTGATCTACACCTATAAGATTACAACCAAGGAAGCGCAGGGGAACTCAGCTCTCACGCGGGAGGCCTACAGGAGTCGCATCACTTTGATGACAGCAGGTTTGGTTTCAGTTATATGCTTCTCAGCATAGTTTTTCAACTCTTTGTAATCTTCAAATCCTTAGGTGAAGGTCATGTCTACCCCTCTTTTCGAAGTGGATTACCTTCATGTGACATTGCCTTGGGCTGATCTAGGACCTGAGCCATAGACACCAGGCAGAGGCAGTGGGAAGGGCTTCCAGGGCTCAGGCCGTGGGAACACTGAGCTCAGCCAGCCTGGTCCTGAGGGAACTGGCAGGGCACCCAACTACTCAGAATGCCTGGGCACAAACTCAAGTGGCAAGGCCTCCTCCCAGAGCTGGTGGACCCAGATGGAGGCCTTCAACTTTTGCCTGAGACAGATCAGCTTCAACAACTCCAACTTCCCAAGTGAAACTCCAGTTGCACATCCTGCCAAGTGCTTACACTGGGGCCCCTCACTGCTTTCTGGCCTCTTTCCTCAAATCTGCTGACTCAGGGGTTGAGTTCAGAGTACTTGCCCCAAAGCCTCTTGGGAAAAGGAAATGAGCCTGTGCAAGGAGCCACGTAGTCAGACACAAATTTGAGTAGTTTGCAAACCCTGGGGAAGAGAGCTTCGGCTTTTAAATAACCTGAGTTAATGGGGAAGGGGTAACAGCCCAGAGCCCCCATTCACAGCCCTCCTACCAACAGATATCAAGTTCTAAGGCACTCATTTTGGGCTCAACTGCCTCACCAAATATGTCTCAGTATAGAGACTACACTCACCTATAGTGGCTGGAAGGTGCATCGTGGCAGAAGCCTGGGAGGTGAATGCTCTGAAACACAGAATCAGGAACTTCAGGATCAAGCAGGTAATGAATCAGTGTTCCTGATCTGATCACCCACCTGCAGGCTCAGCCCAGCCCAGCCCAGACCACCCCCCAAATACTTCAGTGGGCAATTCTAGGCTTGACTAGAGCCACAGCTCAGCTGAACCTAGCCACACCAGGGGGTGTTCGCCTACTAAAGTCAAGACTGCCTCTTTCTGGTTCTATGTTCCAGAATAGGATATAGGCTGGGGGACTCCTGGTCTGAAAAGGACAAGAGCACAGATGATGTGGGCAAAGGCCTGTGGAATGAATGGAAAAAGCGGACCAGCGCCCCGTCCTGGCCTTTGAGGCACAGAGGGGAGCCCAGTCTACCCCTAACTAGGGGCTGCATGCAGGCGGGCCTGACTCAACAAGGCGAGGCAGCCAAGTCACAACTCAGAGCAGCATGGACCACCCTACCGCTCAGGTCTACCCCGCTGCCCTCCTCCCCCCCCCACTCCCCACCTCCGCCAATGCCCACTCGCTCCTCACCGCTTCCGAAGCTCTGTGTCATCTCTGAGCCTGGCCTGGCTGGCAGACAGCAAGCTCTGTAGCATGGCTCTTGCCTCCTTCCAGGCAGCCTGTCCCAGGCCCATGAAGCTGTTGAGGGTTGACTAGGGACAAAACAGGGAGAATGTGCAGAACAGAGAAAGCCCCGGAGGCATCTCCCCCACCCATGGGCGTCCAACTAGCCAGGGCTCCTGCCACCCTTCTCCGGTTCCCTCTACCTCTCAGGACCTTAGTCCTTAGTCTTGTCACCAAGCAGAAGAAAGGCATGACCTTTCTGTGACGGGGACCTCAACCTCCATGTAATCACCCACCGCTGTCAAAGCCCAGGAGTTGCACCTCTAATGGCTAACCCTGTCCTTGTAGTCACCTTGACCTGCCCTAACCACACAGCATTGAAAACACAGGAAGGTCACTGATGTCTCACAGTGCCGGAGGCTGCTGTTCTAAGGTGCCATCACAAGTGCCAACGCATAGGGGCCGGATGCACAACAGAACACAACACCGCCCAGTCCTGCGCCAGCCTCGCCATTGTTCTTATGGCTGAGCCCACTGTCAGAGCCCCCGTGTCAGTCCACGTTGTCCAGGGCCTTCCTCTACTACACTATACTTTGTCCTTCTCCAGGGATTGGTCTCTTCTGACAACTTGTCCAACGTACACGAGACAAGGTTTCATCATCTTTGCCTCTAAAGAGCATTATGGAGGCTAAAATAGCCAAATCCGGGTCTCAGACAGGTTGATCCCTCCTATGGGCCAGTCTCCTAGATGGGACAGCCAGCCATCCGTGGCAATCCTAGTGTTCTCTGTGCGCCTGTGTCTAATGTGTTTCTTTCACTACTCCACAGGGATTAGGTTTAGGACCCACTCATATAGCCTCATTAACATAACAAAACTCCCTATTTTCCAAAAAGGATCCCATCCACAGGTACAGATGACCAGGATTTCAACACAGGTGTATATTTTTTTTTCTTAGATTTTTTTGGGGACACAATTTAACCCATGACTCCTGTGGTAGTCAACTAATCTGGTGTCAATTTAAGGATGAAGAGTGTAGGGGTGGAGTCTAGGCTGTCAATCTGGAGATAGCCAATGAGAATTCTGTGTGGGCATGGCCTTCTCCTTAGAATTCTGGGAAATCTGGTACTTTCTCCTTGGAGGTGAGAGAGAGACACTATCTCTCTCAGTTCACTCTCTTGGAGATTCTCTACTGACAAGGTTGGCTTCCTGTGAGGCATCCCTGAGGAGATGCCACATGGACCTACCCTGATGCAGCCCTGGGAACTGGAATGGCCACATGGAGACCCCTGCCAGCGCTGAGATGATTCTACCACCACTGACTTTGCAGCCACTGGCCTGTGACCGTTCTGCATTTGGCATCATTGCATGTGTTTTGTGAGTCTGAAGAGGACTTTATGGATTGATGTTGGACATATGGGCTAATACCAGACATGACTTTGGACTGGACTGGGTTGGAATGTTTTCTCAATGTTCAATTGCTCTTGTATATAAATCTCTTTCTTATACACATACGTGTGGCCATGGATTTGTTTCTCTGGTCTACCCAGACTAACACGACTCCTATTACTCTTGGCTTGGCCTGCAGTTGAGATGGGGTACACCCTCTAATCTGCACAGTGGCTCCCAGCCTAACCTGATCCCCTTCGTGTGACTTACAATGAGGTTTCTTGGGGGAAATGGAGAAGTATTACTTAAAGATTACCGAGTTCCTGTTTGGAAGGATGAAAATGTGTTAGATAGGACTGATAGCTGTAAGCATGATGACTATAATTAAAATCCCTGAAATGTACACTTAAAAACGGTAGACTAAAGAGGCCAGGCTTACTGGTCAAGGCACCTAGGAGCCTGCTTTGACATGTTGGGATTCCCAAGACTTTGGCCCTTGGTCACCCTTCAGGTCTGGAGCTGAACACATCCCTGTGTTAAAATCATCGACTGTTTGAGATCAAAAGGGCAGCACTTACCCAAGGACTAAGTCCAGAGGGTTAGGAGACCAGAAAGAAACAAACAGGAGACCAGGGAGGAAGTGGGACACGTGACAGTGCATCGGCAGGATTGCAGTGGGTGAGCTGGAACAACGTGCGTATGAATGATTGAATGTAAAACTGATGATTGCACTGTCAACCAGTATCTAACTCACAATAAAAAGCTTTCTAAGCATCATTTTTAAACATGGGTAAGATGTTAAGTTAATAATCATATATACAAAGAGGCTTCCAAAAGCTCGTGGGAAAAAAGAACATGGAAAATTTCCATGAACGTTCTGAAGAGCCCTTCGTGTTTTACCACATTTCCCCCCCAATGAGGTTCTTAGTCAGTCGGGTTTAACAGAAAGGCATTTGCGGGTTGTACAGGTTAGACTTGTCCCCTTGGGCCCATGTGATGTTGCACCTCATTTCTGGTGCTCAAAGGAGGCTTACATCTGGGATGCTAGAGGGTCACTGTGAGGACGGAATGGGGGATATGTGTGAAAAGCTTGGCACAGGGTCTGGCACGTGGTGGGTGCCCAATACACATTACTCTCCTCCAGAGCCATGAAGTGAACAGATTAACATCCAAATACCTGACCCCATGCAGCTAAGTAGATTCATGCCCATTCCACATGTGTGTGCACAGCAAGCTGCCTCCTACCTGGCGGCCGGCCCTGAGGGTCATCTGTCCTCTCCTCACAGCCTATACCGGGGGACCTGGAAGGTAGGGCTCATGGTTCCTTCTGTGAGGAACCCACACAGGCCTCAGACAGGCAGAAGCTCAAACAGTTTAATAAGGACATTCCCCTGGTTTGTTGAGGAGCCTCGTCTCTGCAGCTGGAAATGCTAGGGTCAACGACATAGACAGTAACTCCAGAGGATTCCATTTGGTCTCAAGGAACTTAGGAGCCTACTCCGACAGGTCCCAAGGCCACCACTGCCAGTCCCGCCTATCCTAATTAAGGTTGTTGAAATGGAGGACAAAGAGCATTATCTGGAAGGCATGTGTCACAAGTGCCACCGAAATCAGACACTAGGTATGTCACAATGTCCTACCTGATCGAAGACATCCTGGTGTTTGGAGAGGGCAGGCCCGGTGAAGAGATGCTTAATGATGCTGAGATCCAGGATCTGGTCACCTATCGCCACGCCAATCCTCGGTCTTGGCTGGGAGGAGAGGCCATGGTCAGCACTGAGTGAAGCCTTGGCTTATTTGCATGGAGAGCTTGTCTAGGTAAGAACTCCTGGCTCCCCTGGTCAATTCAGCTCACTGCTATTAAGTCAATTCTGACTCCCTGGTAGCTTAGAGGGTTACGCATTGGTATAGTCACTGAAACGTTAGCAGTTCAAAACCACCAGATGCTCCTCAGGAGAAAGATGAGGCTTTCCACTTTGGTAGATGGTTACAGTCTCACAAACCCACAGGGGTTCTACCCTGTCCTAGACAGTCACTATGAGTGGCTCTCTTATTAATGGCCCCCAATTTGACCCTCAGCATCCAGCCCTTGCTACTTGGGCCTCAAATGAGCTAAATTGCTGTGTTTTCTGTCTTGACAGAACCTCTTATCATCTCTGCTTCCAGGGCAGAGTCTGCACCCAGAAGTAGGAATTAAGTCAAATACCTGGAGCACAGGTCTCAAGAAGGAGCAG